CTCCTCAGCGAGCCCCTCCGTGTCGTTCTCGAGAGTCGATACCATGCATTATATCAACTATGAGGAAGTTAGCGTGCCGTATCGACCGCAGATTTAGGATTACAGACCCCGGGTACCTGAGGAACGCGATCAACGGATTCTTCACGTCTGAGAGGTCAATCCTTCCCATGACGTGAATGCTTGTAGCGACAATACTCTCTTGGACGAATGTCACCGTTACATCGATATCACTTGAAAGATGTCGTAACCACGAATCCTGGCCCAGTAGAATATACTTCATCTCTGCCCAGGTGGCCCTGTCGGGGACGCTGAAATGTGCTGTGTTCTGTTAGGACAATCAATCAATCAATCCTGCTTTCCGGTGGACGTGCATGCAGGGGAAGGTACCTCGACGATCCGCCATGCAATCATTCCCTTGAGCTCCGGGTATAATGTACTTGCGGATTCCGTCAACAGTGCAGCCAGGCTTCGCGGGGTCTCCTTGACCAGATCTTTCACGTATACGTCCCCTTGGAATTCATATCGTCGTATGTTCCCCGGGTTTGCCGGATTCAATGAGTCCCGAAATATGAAAACTCGCTGGGCCTTGGGCTCGGTCGCTTGCTCGCTGGCGGACTCGCCGGAGTCGGGCATGGGGGATTGCATGAGTGGTGGGTCGCATACGTGGCGCTCCTACCGGCCAGGTGCCAGTACGCGCCATCGGCCGGCCGCTACCGGCCGCGATATCCTCACTGTCGCAGCGCAAAGTGACAAGTTGGGTGGTTTTGCAATTGGACGAGCAAGGAGCTTAGCAAGCGCATGCCAGTGACCGCCCGGCGCCATGCCAGGCGCGGAACCTGCTTCTCGTTATCTTCCAGCGTACTACAGTGGCCTGAGAGCTTCGGACGCGTTCGGTGCGCTGGTGGACGGTCCTGTAACACTATCCTCAGTTGGTTTTTATTTAACCGAAGTAGACATCGACTGGACATACCGTCGCTTCCAAAACCATTAGTGTCGCGACGTGGAGTACTTACCGATGCCGATAGCCTGAGGGCGACTCGTCTAACCATGCGACCTTTCTCTACCGTCCATCAACGCGCTGTAGAACTGACTGCAGGGATTTGTATTGCAGTACATGAAATACCGAATGATCTACTGGACTGCAATGTCGCGATTTCCGCAGTACTGTTGCTAGAGTTCGAGAGCCCGAGTGTCAACAGGTAAAAGTCATCCGTGAAACAACATGCGGCGAAGTAGAGGTACAGTGTACACGCACCGCCTAAGCAATGCAATCGATCAACACGTTCTCGACGTCCGAGTTTCCGAGTCAACGCTTCCCATGACTGGGATGGTGTTTCTGTTGATGACGATCGAGTCGATGGCACGTAAGCAATTGAACTGTCTTGTCAATATCTCGCTCATCTGCTCCAAGATCACTCTGGGAGAGAAGAGGCGTCGGGTTCTGTCAAGGATTTGATCAACGTTGTGGGAATAGATATATAATCCCAAGAGGCCGTGCTTACCTCAACAATCCGCCATACACTCATGTTTGATGGCAGCAGTACCGCACGTTAGCTGTTGACTGTGTTCTCATAGCTTCGCTGTGTCGCTGCCGCCGGTGGAGCCGATGGGTGACCCTCTGATGGAGTAGAGTAGCACACCAGTCGAGCGTACGATGGACAGGCAATATTCGCAGCGTACGTCAAGCTGTCGCCCGGCAATGCCATTCACGGGCCCGAACAGGCGCTGGCGTAAGGCCTGACTATACAAATGACCCGCGGCCCTGTCGTACGCGTGATTTCTCGCAGACATGAGAACACAGCGCAAGCTTAAGTGGCATAGCGCTCGCACTCTGGGCATCGAGGGTCGCACAAGACTTGCGCGAGATAATGCTCCCTGTGGGCCTGCCGGAATCAGTAAACGCACCTGCTAGACACGGGCAGAAACGCACCACTCGCTCAAGTCGCTGCCTTGGATCCATGAGGACGTCTACACTGTCAAGTTCATTTTCCACCTGGGAGAGCCTTGCTCTGCGAGCAAGAGATGAACCTACTTACTACCTGATGTATGGTATGTTCACGCACTTGACCTCTGATGCAATGGACGTCGACGTCGACGCTGCAGATTCGAGCAAGCCACAATGTGTGTTGATTGGCCCTACGAGGCGTTCCCAACATGCATTGTCTCCTTGGCCCGGCACGGACACTAGACTACATCCACATGGTAAAACGATTAACCCATCTGCTGTAAAAGGTACTGGTGGGAGAGCTTAAACGTCATCACGGACGAATCGTCAGTAAGAGCATTTTGATATCTCGTGGCATTAGGGACACACAGACCTCTTGAAGAACACGATCAATGGATTCTTGACGTCTGAGAAGTCTATTCTGCCCATGGCTGGAATGCTTGCATGGACAACCGTCTCTTCGACGGTCCTTAATGAAAATCGTGCGACAGACCACGACCTTTGCTCCAGTAACATATACTCCATCTCTCTCCATGTGGCCCTATCGGAGATGTTGAGAGGCGTTGCGTTCTGTTGGAGCAACCAATCAATCGCGCTTCCGAGTGGACGTACGTGCAAGAGAGGTACGTACTTCGACGATTTGCCATACAACCATTCCCTTGAGCTCCGGGTATGCAGAGCTTGCGAGAGCCGCCGACAGTTCAACCAGGCTCCGCGGGGTTTGCTTAGCCAGATTTTCAACGTGCATGTCCCCCACGAACGTGAACTGTGGCCCGACGTAGTCGACGAAGCTTGTGTCCTCCCGAAAGATGAAAACCCGCTGGGCCTTGGGCTCGTCCGCTTGGTTGCTGATGGTCTCGCCGGGGTCGGGCATTGGGGATTGCATGGGTGGTGGAAAGCATACGTTGCTCTCCTCAGTACGGGCAAGGGCCACCGGCCGTTACCGGCCGCGATATCCCCATCCCTGCACAAAGTGACAGGTTGAGTGCCAAACAAGAAGATCCGGAAACCCATGACCGCCAGACCAGATACGTACCATGCTATCTGTCAAACTCTCTGTCAAGCGCGGGTCTAGACCTAACTGCAGTGATTCAGACGATAGTATCACCTCACGAATTATATCCTTAACAGCGCGGAATTCACTGGTACCAGTAGCGGAGTGTAATGCCATCGTCAGTACGCACCACAACTACCCGCGTACCGAGCATCTTGGCGCGATATGCAATCTTAGCTTGCACGAAGCCTCTAGCCCAGGCCCGGGGCCATACCATCTTCTAGTCAAGCCGCAGGTCATGCTGCAAAGACTCCGATCGCGAATCGCACGCAGGCGACGTGAATGTGTGCGCTTGGACAGGTGTCAGAGACATCTGTTAAGTAACTGAGGAACACACTGTATGGATTTGCCTGTATTGTCGCTGGCTGCGAGCTGCATGTAAGCGCTACATCCAACTACTCTTGTCGACACAAGGCAAAGTTCCATACCACAACCTCTGGCAATCGGCATCCTAGATATGAAAGAGCTGAGTACGATGGGCGCTACGAGGCGCTCCCTTCATCCCCTCAGACAGGTTGCTCAGCGAGCCCCTCCGTCTTGCTCTCGAGAGCCGATCTCATGCGTTAATTTAACTATCAAGAGTGAGTGTGCAGTCCCGACCACATACATAGGATTACTGACTACATGAACCTGAAGAACACGATCAACGGATTCTTGACGCCTGAGAGGTCAATTCTTCCCATGATGGGAATGTTTGCAGTAATGATTGCCTCTCCGACGGATTCCGTACCGGGACGCCGTGCATCAGACCACGAGTCTTGGTCCAGTATCGTTTTCTTCATCTCATTCCAGGTCGCCCTCTCGGGGACGTCGAAAGGCGACGTGTTCTAGTAGAATGATCAATCGTACTGGACGTGCATGCAGGGAAAGGTAAGTACCTCGACGATTCGCCATATAGCCATTAGCTTGAGGTCCGGGTACACAGTCCTTGCGGTATCCGTCAGCAGTTGGACCAGGCCCCGCGGAGTCTGCTTAGCCAGAGCTTCAACGTATATGTCCCCCGTGAACACATATCGTGCTACTTCCTCCTCTTGAAAGATGAACACCCGCTGGGCCTTGGGCGCCGTCACTGTCGCTTGCTTGCTGGCGGACTCACAGAAGTTGGGCGTAGGGGATCGCATGGTTGATGTGAGGCACACGTTGCTCTCCTGCTGGCCAGGTGCCAGCAGGTACGGTACTTATACTATCGACCAGCTCCTTCCCCGCTTCCACAGCGAAACGCGGTGCATAGCGATTGGTTGACCACCGAAGGCGACTCATATCGACGTCTAGCCCCAGACCACTTACTGCTCCTAGCTTCTCGTTGCGTTGAGGGTCGCGGAAGCTACCAGTCACCTTATGGAGTGAGACGATCCACCGCAGCTCTTTGCCGCTAGTCATCGTCTGTCCACTGCGTTTCCTTGCCGGTATGCACTTCCAATCCACCTTTCGTCGCTGGAAGGTACGAAGGGAGCCGATCGCCGCCGACTACGGTCTCTTCACAGGTGCAGCCCGCTGCGCTCATGCAGTAGGACGAAAACCAATCGTAAAGTTCTGTTGTGGATGAGATGTTTTATGGCACTCCGGGTTAAGCTCTCGAGTCGCTGTAGCCTTACAGACAAATGAGCATACGAATATTGCCTGAACGCGTAAGAGGGGGTGAAGGAGGAGGGGGTCCATTCAGCTACCCGCCGATGACCCGCGTGCGTGTCAATCGACGTCCTGATAGTGACGGACCTTACTCAGAATGGACGATAGCATTGCAGGTGTGATCACTCACAATCAAGACGCCCGCAATACAACAACGAAGACGGATGGTATCGTCCTCGCGAACTCACATGCGGGGACGACTGTGCCGGGTAGGGTATGCGTCTAATAAGTCGCTAAGGTTCACCATGTGTCCGTGCGCTTCGTAGTGCATCACGTCTTGTCCTCGGATGACCGGATCTCGTCAATGGGCACCCTGACGAGGCGTTCACCAGATAAGCCTTCAGAGGCCTGGCCCGTTGCATCGTCCTGGTGCTGCTCACGAGCCGACACTAAAGGGTGACATCAGAGATGAACAAGCATGCCTCGGGCGCGTCAGGTCACTTACAGAACAATCCCAAGATCCTGAACATATTCGGCCATTGCTCCAGTACTTGGCCGCATACTGTGCACTTCCGTTAGCTCTAGCCTCGACGTGCACACAGGACACCACTAACCTTTCCCTGCATCGGCCATCACGTCGAAATCGTCACCCAGTTCGTCTATCCGTTTGACGAACTGCATGCTTGCCCGTTCGAGGGCTGCCACCGCTTCGTATTCTTTCTTCTTCTCGAGAAGGCGTGCCTGTGCTGCGGCATTCATCGCAGGATTCTGTACGGTGGATTGCCGCGTCGACGCGGCTGTCGATTGTCGCATTCTGTGATGAGAGGGAGAAGGGAGGAGGAGGATGAGCCGGAGGCTGCCGGAGGTGGTGGCGGCGAGAAGTAGAGACGCGTCCTGGGAAACGCGGTCGCGTGGCCCGCGCGCCCACGAGGCGTGACCAACCGGTCTTGTTACCGTCCCATCACCCTCGTCGTCCGTCGACCTCTCGCCGCCGTTGCCCGACCTCCCGGCGACGGGCTAGCGCCTCTGCTCACTGCCGAGCATGGATACCTCTCCCAACCTGCCGATACCCCGCCTCCGACTCACGAGACACTCCCCACCGAGTCGCGCCGATACCCTCAACACGCCGACCGCTGGCCCCTCGCGCACCTCGCCAGAGAACCTGCGCGCACAACTATACGACGAGGAGGATGCAGACGCAACCCCGCGCATGCCCGCCGCCCGCATCGCGGACTCACCACAGGCCACTACAGCGCCTGGCCTCCCTCTTGATACGCCCGCCGCCCGCCTGCGTATGGCCCTCGCGCGCGTACCTAACAATACGTCCCCACCACGAGCATCTACATCGCGTATCCCTGAACCTCGGACACCTTCCGAGCCCGATTCTGACCTCGACCCGCCGTATTCCATCACTGCAACGCCTAGCATCGCGCGCGAGAGCCTCAGGGAGCTCTTCTCGAGCGCACTGCGTCCGGTCGGAAATACCCCTCAAAAGTCCAAAGGACGCGCAAGGCGAAACAGCGTCGGCCCTGCAAGTGAAGTTGACCCGAGCCCCCGCATTGAGCGCGTCGAGCGGGAGAGGGCTGGAAACAAGGGCAAGCGGAAAAGCATGAGCGACGAGGAGGCCGACCGTGAGTGCTGCGATGGTGACAGCCGTGATTTCGGGACTGACAGCATTCGTGAAGACCCGTCGAGACGGTCTGAGGAATCTACCCAATCGTCGCACTCACGGGCTGCGCGGTGGACCGCTCTGAACGCGGTCCTCTCCGACACACATTCCAGCACGTTGCCGCCTACCCCTCCACCGGAGCGGATGGTAACAGACATGACCATGCCCCCTAGCGACACCTCGCAAGATACTGCGACCCTGCTCCGTGAGGACAACAGGCCAGAGTACGAAGCGACGCCCCCTCATGCGATGCGAACAATGCACATGTCTTCCCAGTTGAACGGAGAGTCCAACCTCCTGGATGGTGACTCTGAGATGCGTCGGGCCCTCGGTGGGATGGATAGTTACGAAGGAGACTCGCTGGCGAACGGCCATGCTCCTCCTTTCCCTCCACGGTCGAGGTTCACCTCACCTCCTCCGACTCGACCGACTTCGTGGAGCTCTCACATGAGGGCTGGTCCATCGTCTCCGAACGGACCGAACGCTCATACAGATCCAGTTTCACCCGGTCGGCCACTCTCATGGAGTGCGCATTCGAAGGCGGACCCAGTCTCGCCTGGCCGGCCGTTGTCGTGGAGCTCTCACTCAAAATCACATTCCGCACACAAACTGCAAATGCCATTGAGCAGGCGAGGAAGCGAAGAGCTTGAAAATTCGAGTACGTCTTTACTCAGATGAAAACGGCATTCGTTTGACTCTTATTTCGGTAGCATCGTCTCGGGGTTCTTTCGCAAGTTCCTCTTCTCAGTCCGTTGGGGATTGTCAGTGGCCCAGTCACCTCTCGATGCACATCGCTGACAATGATGTAGACAAGGAGCGACAAGACGACGTTCAGCGTGATCGTCTTCGGGAGCGCGAGCGCTTATGGAACCACCCGCAACCGAAATCGCCTGCTCATCCTCAGCATCTCGGTAGGTCCACCACGCTCACTAGCCTGTTCGATAGTAACGAAACGATGGTACGAAGCCAATGGGCGCGACAGTCCAGCCCACACACACACGCTCTCGCGTAGAGGGAGTGCGGCGTCTCTGAACAGTTTGCAGAGCACGGATGACGGGCGATCGAGCAGAGCCAGCTCGAGCTCAGTGATGTCCCAAGCTGAGCGTGCGTCGTTTTACTTGTCTGTCGTCGTCAGCTCACGTCCAAGCTTGCAGACCATGAACGGACGAAAGAACTGGTGCAGGATCATCAGAAAGAGCGTGAACACGGATGGAACAAGCCGAAACACACGCCGCCCAAGACGCTCAATCGCTCGTTCTCCAGCCTCGGCCTCCGTCCGCAAGAGCGCACGCGGACGCTGTCGAGCGTGGTCGCACTCAGTCCGCCAAGACCCGACTCTGCAGAGAGCTTCCTCTCCCCCAACACGCTCACGCCCGGGCAGCCTCGACGCAGTCTGTCGCGGCAGTCGTCCGCGAGCTCCTTACGCGGTTCTGCTTCGGGACACAGCCGGGCAGCCTCTCCTGCAGGATCCATCTCGGGCGTGGAAGCCGAACCGGAGGTCGTGCATGAGAGGGAGCGGAACTGGAATTCGCCGCGACCGAAATGGAACCCTCATCAGGGGACGAGCAGAGCCTCGAGCCCGGTGCCTCCCGCCCCATCGACCTCTGGTTCGAACGCGCTGAGTCCGAGGGAGCGCAAGGACAGCTCCGCGTCGGTCTCGCATACTTCTGCGAGGCAGCGAACAGAGAGCCTGCGGAGCAGCCCTGCACCTGCGGCAACCGGGCACGTGAGGCCAAGAACGCACAGCTCGATGTCGTTCGATTCGAAAGGAAAGGCCCCTGTGAAGCCCAAGTCGCCTGCCCACTCATTAGGCGTAC